TCTAGTGGAAGATGTTGCCTGCCCATGGCAGGGGGTTGGGACTGGGGGAGTGTTAGGGTTCCTTCCAACCCAAACTGTTCTGTGAGTCTATGATTCCATCACCTGCCTTTGCAAGTAGACATTGAAATAAACTGTTGGAAGACTTAAGCGTGCGGCTCAGATTGGCGTTGAGGTTTTGAAGTGTGTGACCTTTACAGTCTAGTATACATTCTCAGGTAACTTCTTCTGTTAAACTTGATGTTTTTTCCCCTTATATGGTGTATAAATATTATTCTTGAATTGAAGAGACAATCTGTGGACTTCCTGTTTTTTCCCCTTCACCTCACCTGGCTTTTGGTCAATATTCAAATCCTCTCCTATTTGAAGCAGGGTTGTATGAATGCAGTGAGTCAAATAGCAGCGGGTCTTGTGCTGTGTTGTCATTAATCTTTAGAGTCTGTATGGATGTTCATGGAGACATCTATGCTTGCAGGGTGCAGTAATGAGAGCTGTTGGGGACATGGAAGGAGTTTGAAGAGTAAAAGGGGTTTTCTTGGAGATTATGGGGAAAGTAGAAGGGTCTGAGAAGAAAACATGGTTGGTTGGATGGTGGGTGTGTGTGTCCAGTCTCTGTCTCCTCCATGTCTTAACCTCTTGCTTCTCAGTTGTGTCCTGACAGCTGGCTGCAAAGCAAGTTTTTGCCTGGCAATACCTTGTTGTATCATCCTTGAACTCTTCCCTGCAGCAGTTAAAGCTGTTGGAGGCTCTACAGGCCCGGCAGACCCTTTTGGTGTGTGGTATTGCTTTTGGCATGTATTCAAACCTGAGCACCTCTACATCTGCCTTCTGCATCTGTGTGGATTGGTTTGGCTCTGCCCTTGATGTAGTAGTGTCCTTTTTGTTCTATTTCAGGTGTGGTCTCTAAGGAAGACTGCTCAGCAGCTTCAACACTGAGTGGTAGAGCAGTGTCCAAGACATAGCCGAATTTGCTGTTTGCCTCTGAGTCAACCCTGACTTGTAGGGGGTTGAGGGGGTGTGTTAACATACATCATCCATGTGCTGAACAGGAATTGTTTTTAGGATACAAAGACCAACACTTCTTCAGGGGCTGTTTTTACTCTCGCTGGCATAAGCACAGTTCACCACCAGTGGAGGAAGTGGTTTCCCATTAACTCCCAGTATGGCCAGAAAGGGTTTATTGCAGTAGATTGTGTAAGTGCTTGGTGAAAGGTTAGGAAGAAGGTAGCATCTTTATGGGTGCTCTGCTCCTTTTCCTCTTGTGTGCTGTGCCTTCATTGCTCTGCATGCTTTGTGCCTGGTATCCCATGAAAATGTTTGCCAGGCCCTTCTGTAGGGCTTCCTAATGTCTGAAGAAAGGAGATGGAAGGCTTCCTTCACAGTCCTGATAGCTTCTGGACCAAGGATGCCCTCTGCACTGCATGGTTGTCACCAGAAGTATTGCAGACAGATGTGAGGCTGTGGTGAAGTGATTTACAGGTGATAGGTACTTGCCAAACTCCTGCCAGCTTTGCTTAACGCCAGGTACAAGTCTGGTAACTTGCCATCGTAGAACCCCAGACTGGTTTGGGTTGGAAGGGAAAAGCTCATCCAGTCCCAACCCCCTGCCACGGGCAGGGACACCTTCCACTAGAGCAGGTTGCTCCAAGCCCCTGTATCCGACCTGGCCAACTGTCTTGGCTGGAACTCCAAATCACCTCATCTAAGGAGCGAAAGGGGTCCCAGGAATGCTTCTGTTCCATCTCAATGCAAAACTCAATTAGGACAGCCAGGATTAACTGGTATTGTGAGGGTGGCTGCCTCACTGCACTGGGATGAACTAAAGCCTTTTGCATGCTCTGAACACCTGACCTGATGGATGGTGGCTGAGAAGCAATGATATCTTAAACTGTTCTATTTCAGCTCAGATTTGATTATCCCCACAGGCAAGATTAGCATTGGTTTGGTGATACCTGCCTCAGATAACGTGCTCAGCTGTCAAGCAAGCTGCAACTAAAGGAGTTTTAATAGTAGTTGCTTATGTATAGCACCTTAGGTTATTCTTTGGGCTAAATGAGTTTGTTGGCCAACAGTTCTATTAAAATAAACACAAAGTGCATCTTTGAGCCTGGGGTGATTAATTCTTTCATGGTTGCACTGAGAGATTCAAGGAGAAGCAAATTTCACATTGAACTTGGAATGTTTATACTGAACTTTCAGAAGGGAGTTGAAGATTTGCAAGTCTCCAGTGCTTGAATTTGTGCTTAGACTGAGCTCTTGCATCAGGTGAAGCATCCATCTACCTTTATTCTGGAAACACAGTGGTGTCAATCTGGATTTACAGTTGGTAAACTCAGTGCAGCAAGAGCAGGTGATGAGCTGAGCAGGTATTGCTGCTGGAGCTGTATGTGACCAAACCTCAGATGCTATTCCTCTAGTGGGAGCTCTGGATTCAAGGAAGAGCTTCAACCTCTCAGGTTAACCTTAATTTCATCCCCCCCCCAAAGTTTTATGGGTTTGTTCCTCTCACTGGTGGAGTTGGAATTGGAAACACATACAGAATTAAACACTATTGCAGTGACTTAAGGGGAGGAGTGCCCAACTGAGCATCAGGAGGCCATGAATTCCCCTCAGGTTTTAGCAGCTTTCCTGTTAATTCTGGGTGCTTCACAGCTGTCTTTAAGAGCTGTGTTGTTTTGGAGCTGGTGCTGTTTAGTGTGCTCGGACTGAGAGGATGACCAAATCTGCAGGAGGGAACTGGAGAGCCAGAGTCTGGAACTATTCAAGAAAATGAGCTTCCTGTGATGGTGGTTTCAGAAAGAACTTGTCAGCCCAGGCTTCCTCAGGCTGCTGGACCTCAGCTCTCTCCTGTTGCAGGAAGAGGAGATCCTGCTTTTGACCCATCCCTGGCAGTGTTCAAGGCCAGGTTGGACACAGGGGCTTGGAGCAACCTGCTCTAGTGGAAGGTGTCCCTGCCTGTGGCAGGGGGTTGGAACTGGAGGAGCTTTAAGGTTTCTTCAACCCAGACAATTCTGTGATTCTGTTCTGGCAGGCCATGAAGGAAGAGCAGCTTTGTCTGTTGTGAGTTTGAGGTGTAGATGTCCTCTGCATCTGGAACACTGGGATTCAGGCCCTGCTGATGCTAAGGCAAAGAGTATCTACATGTGGTGGGATTTCTGGATGCTTTCTCAAGGCTTTCTTTAAAAAGGTGCAAAAATAGAACCTCTCAAATATCCAGTATGGACTGAAGTGAGCGTTCCAGATTCATCTGTTTCATATATGCCATTGAGTGGTCACCCAAAGGCAGCCGTTGAACAATGGTAGCACTTTAAGATGTAGGATAAACAATGTGTGAGGGAGGAAACATTTAGAGAATGAATAGTCCCCAGGCGAAATACTGAGCTGGGGCTGGCAGGTTGGGCTGCTGCTCCTCTTTCCGTCTTAAGAGATTTGGGCATAAACTTGGGGTGAAGGTTGACATGGCAGGCTGGATCCTGGCTAGCCAAGTGCTTGGACATGGGAAACCCGAGTTTTACCTTGGCTGCTTGGAATACTTCGGTGCTTTCAGGAGTGTGGATACAATCTGTATGGATGCTTTATATTAATGTAAAAAAAAAAACCCCAAACCCCTTAAGAGCTCCCAGAGTTGTGTAAAATGCTGTGCTTGGTAGTTTGAAAGAAGGAATTGTTCTGGGATTTTCAACAAGTCATGTTTTGTGAGGGGAAAAATGCACAGTTGGAACAGTTGTTTGTTCTTTCTTAGAAGAAACATTCCAACTTCTGTCAGGTGGAGAAAGTTTGACTTGTTGAAATTCCTGTGACCACTGTGACAATCTTGATTTGCCCAACCTCTTTTTGAACCTTCTCTTTTCCTCCATATATATTTTGACATTGAGATTAATATTGTGGTCAAGTGCTTCAGTTCTTCCTAATAATTTGCTTTAAACTGTTAGCCAGTCAATGGCCATATTTTCCTTCTTCTCCATGTTATAAGAAAAAGGGAGTTACTGCTTTTGATTTATTTTCTTCACACCATTCATGACTTTACAGACCTCCATCTTATTTGGGTAAGCCCATTCCAGTGTGGAATACACCCGTTTTTTCCTGCACTTCATTTTGTTTTCTTTCTTCCCATGTCTTCGTTTCCTTCATCAACCACATATAATGATCCATGGAAGAGTTTTTTCTTTGTTCAAGATCTAGTACTGATGTGAGATGTTTTTTTTTTTTTTTCTTTTGGCAGATACAATATAAGATGTCTAATGGTTATGAAGATCACATGGCTGAAGATTGCAGGGACGATATTGGTAGGACAAATCTCATTGTGAACTACCTCCCTCAGAACATGACACAGGATGAGTTGCGGAGTCTATTTAGCAGCATTGGTGAAGTTGAATCTGCAAAACTTATTCGGGACAAAGTTGCAGGTATGGTCTAGTGCGTAAGGAATTGTCACTTGGTGGTGGTGGGCTGCTCAAGCCAATACTGACCTGGGTGCTGTTTAATGTAGAAATACTAAGTATTTGTGTGTGTATAATCAAACTGGTGACAAGTCTGCATATACCTACAGTAATGCACAGACTGGATACTGAATATTAGGAAGATAGACTGCTTAAGGCTAAATTAATGACTGGTTTAGACAGAACCATAGAATGGTTTGGGTTGGAAGGGACCTTAAAGCTCCTCCAGTTCCAGCACCCTGCCACAGACAGGGAAACCTTCCACTAGAGCAGGTTACTTCAAGCCCCTGTGTCCAACCTGGCCTTCAGCATTGCCAGGGATGGGGCAGCCACAGATAAGGTTAAGAATTCCAAGAAGTATAGTTCCTAAATTTGAACACCAATAGGCATGTCCCAAATTGAAACTAACTTGAATATGCTCCCCAGTTTTTGTTCTTCCTACGTTTTTGACTCTACCAGAGCTCTGAATATGCAAACATTTTCTGATCAGATCTTGATCAGTGAGATAAAGGTGTAGCATGTGTCTGGAACCGTTGCGGGCCTTATCGCTCTTAAGGAATTTAACTTGTAAGTTCTTTAAATAGGATTGTTAGTAGTAGCTTTAAAAAAAAATGAGAGGAATGAATTGTTCAGATTTGTGAAACTTCATCTTTCCTTGAAGACAAACAAATGCTGGTAGAGCAGTGGATTCCAGAAGCCATAGCTATTTAGTGGCAGCAGCTTTTGATCTGCTCTGTGAGGATGCTGGAATCCTTGCACTGTTAAAAATCTTTATCTACAAATTGTGGTTATTCTTGTTCAGAATTACTGGAATCTCAGGTTTAGTGGGAGAGTGGTTATTTCTGTAAATAAAAGTGACTGTGCTGTTTACTTGACTGCCCTGTGAAATTTTGTGTAACACATGCGTAGCCTTGTATTTCAGGATCTGGCAGTACTGACATAGATCATTATCTGATCCATAACCAAACAGGTCTGAAACTACTGTAAAATCGCATGAATGCTGATGAGACACATGAGAATTCTTTGTGTGTTATCTTAACTGTAGTACTTCCATGCTTGAGAATAGACAGAACTCAATAATGAAACCATTCTGAAAGTAAACTCTGAAGTTGATCTGACTTCCGTATCTTACGCTTTCCTCACGTCTTTCAGCTGAAGTTTCACATGGTAGCCATCTGTCTAAATCCCTGCTTATGGAATGTATGTGTGTCCTGGGTTCAGCTGTAACAGTCATTTTTCTCCTTCTTAGTGGCTGGTGCAGTGCTGTGTTTGGGCTTCAGTCTGAGAACAGTGCTGATAACACACCGATGGTTTCGTTGTTGCTCAGTAGTACTTACCCTGATCAAGGACTTTTCAGTCTCATGCTCAGCCAGTGAGGAGGGGCACGGGAAGAAGAGACAGGACACCCGTCCCAAACTAGCCAAAGGGGTATTCCATCCCACAGCATGTCATGCCCAGTATAGAAACTGGGGGAGTCACCCAGAAGGCCCAGATCACTGCTCAGGTCAGGCTGGGTTTTAGTTGGCGGGTGCTGAGCAATTGTATTGGGCATCACTTATTTATTGTTTTCTTGTCCTTTTCCCCTTTTAGTTTTATATGCTTATTTCCCTTATTACTGGTAGTAGCAGTAGTTGGTTTGTGTTATACCTTCATTAGTGGAATGTTCTTATCTCAACCGGTGGGATTTACATCCTTTCCATTCTCCTCCCCATCCCGCCAGGAGCGGGGGGAAGAAGAGAGACAGTGAGTGAGCGGCTGCGTGGTTCTGAGTTACCGGCTGGGCCTAAACCATGACAACATGTAAAATCATCATGAAAGTTTCCTAAAATACTGATTTCTTTGGCTAATTTGATAACTGAGCATTCAGTCTGGATGTTGTCAGTTTGAGATGCTCAGCAGCAGAGGCTTGTTCTAGAGGCTACTTTTGCAGGGACATAAGAACACCTTTTTTTAAGGATAGCAAGCCCTTCATCAACTGTCAGGGCTGAGCTACATCTTAGACTTTCAACTCAGCACAAAATTGCCTCTGTGGGAGGTAAGGATGTGTGAAAAAGGAGGCAAGGCACGTCATCACCTGCAGTTTCAGAGTCTACTTCACACTGTTCCCTGTAGCATTGAATCCTCTGGTAGTCTGGTTAACTTTAACTTGAAATCTGACAGTGCTGGCTAGTTTAAAGTCCAAACCACATGCTTGTGTGCTTCAGTATTTTTCCTAACAACCCTGAAGAATCAGAAGTAAAATCCCTGTTGGTATTGCATGGTCTTTGAGTGCCTGTGGACAAAATGCTTGTTTTCTTTAGAGTGCTGGCAAGTGTTTTATTCTCCATGGCATTTAATTCAGTAGCCGCTTGAATTTTGTGCCACTTGCAACACCATTAGGAGCAATTCCCAGTCTTGGAGTTTGGAATATCACTAACTAAGAATTGGCTTCTTCAGGAACCTTCAGAAAGTACTTTTCTCTTCTTTTATTTTTCCTTCCTTTTCCTTTCTGCCCCTTCACCTTTGCATTTCTGTGTTGTAAAACTCCACTCTCAGCAGCTCGGATGTTTGGCTGCCCCTGAAAAGAACAGTCTTGGGGCTGAGTTCTGTCCTTGTGCCACCACTGGCATTTCTCTGCCTCTCTGGCAAACTAGCAGGAAACTAGAGCTGCAGAAAAACCTGTTCACTCTCTGACCTTGGTGCTGTGGGGGCAGGTAAGTCATGGTAATGGCGTGGAAGATGTAGTGAGATGGGAGGCCTGCACAGGAGAGAGGTAACTCCACCTTTTGTTGGAATTAGACTTTTTAGATCCGTTCATTTCTTCTCAATGAAATCACAGCTTTGATGCTCCCATGGCATGCTGTTAAACCTTTTGGTTTTTTTAATTTGGAGTTGCCCTTATTGTCTGTATTTTCGGAGTTAAAAATAACTCTTTGTTTGATAATGCTCATTCTTCATAAAACAATGCCTGATATGTATATTATTTCACCACAATTCATTCTCTGTTAATGAAACATGTAGGGCAGAAAATGTCTTCTCCCTAGAATAAAGCTTTTAATGACTTACTGAAGTAGCCTTTGCTTTCTGGAGACTCGTTACTTTGATTCAAGAATCAATTTGAAAGCCAAAGTTGTGTTTTGTTTGAGCAAAGGACTTCATTATGAGCAGAGTATAGATCTGGTTGGCTTTTGTTAGTTACAGCATGGAACTGAACAATATTCTGTTCCGGGTATTAGATTGTGCTTATAAAATTTATAGAAACTCTTTGAAACAACTACTTACCCTGTAAGTAGTGTAACTTGTGATGAGGGACAGTGAGCAAATACTGAGTTGTTACTCACTGCACTTGTATTTGCAGTGGGTATGTCTTGGACACCAGGATTTTCATAAGAGAACTATAGAACTGACAGACACTGCTCTTTCTGTCAGATCTTCAGGCTAGCACTAGCCATACTTTGGGGCTTTGAGCCTGGGGAAACATTAGAAGGTCATTTCCCAATATAGTATGGCAGAGTGTCAAGTGTGAGATGCAACTCCTGCAGTGGTTGCTGAGTTGCCACTGACCCAAGGGAATTGGTAAAATCCTCTCTTCCTGTGGCTCTGTTCTTTAGGTGAGAGCAAGGAAAAGTGCTGGGATTTGTCCAGTCAAGCTGCACTGATCAGACTGTAGCCCAGCTGCAGACACAGGGGAGCCAAACCTGTGGTCTTGTTCTGATTTCCTACCCAGCAATGTGTAGTGTTAAAAGTGTCCTCTTTCTTGGAGCAACTGCCTCCTACCAGAGATGATTCAACAGAAGAAATATGTCCTGTACTATATTTTGCCTTGGGAGTGCTTGACTTTGCTGGGACATACAGATTCTGGGGTCTGGGTTTCCAGCCTGTCTGCTGTGCTGGACATCTTTAAAGCATTTCTCCTCCTTCAGTACTGTTAATACGAAAACCTTTGGGCCACTCTGTACTGCAAGAAATTCAGCAATTCCAGATGCAGAGTTGTGTCAAGGTGTCTGTGCACAATGGGGATGCTACTAATCAGTGGCTGTACATGTTGCGAGGGAACCTGGTGATCTTTAGTCTACTGTTCGTGCAGGTATTCACAGGCTTTTAGTCCTTCTTTACCAAATGCTAAAGCCAAAAGTTACTCTGCCCTGAGTGTAGTTCTATTTAGTTTCTCTGTCTTCCCCTTCCCCTGTGAAGTGCTGGTACTTTCAAACCCAACTGTCCTAAAGCTCTGGGAAGATTGGGTTAAGCTTTTTGCACATGGTTAGGGTCTCAGCCTGCTGTGGGTTCTGATTGTTGCTCATGGTACCCATAGCCCTGCTCTGGGTCCCTGCTGACAAGTTTGCCGTGTGCACCTCTGTAAAAGCACCTGTCTGATGGCACTTGGTTTTGTTAGGGAGGTATCCAACATCTTGAGGGTTCTTGTTCCCTCCTTCACACCTTCTGTACTGCTTGAGCAGGGACTAAGGTATCCCTGTGAGATGACTTCCTACTCTAGGAAATCCAGGCTATTGAATCCCAGCCTGCTTTGGGTTGGAAGGGACCTCAAAGCTCATCCAGTTCCAACCCCTGCCACAGGCAGGGACACCCGGGAGGTGTCAGTGGTGGCAGAGGGGGGTGGGGAAGATCAGGAATGGGCTGGAAACTGAAGCAGCGGCTCAGGGAGCTGGGGAAGGAAGCAAGGACATGGATAGAAAACCAAGTGATGCTCAGAAAGAAAACGAGTGCCTCTTTCGTGAAAGGGCTTTTTGTCATGGAAACAAAACTACATTCTTTCAGCTGAAGGAGTAGAGTAGTTTGCTTAAAACTGGGGTTTCTGATCACTTTGTGAATTATTCTTCCATATAAGGACCTCCTTGTTTCTTCTTTTTTATCCTTGCTTCTGGAGTACATTTGCATTTATGTATGTGCAAACTTTTGAAAGGCTTTTTTAAAAGGTTTATTTAATTACTCTCCACTAAAATAATCTGAAAACTCTTACAGCGCTGCTGCCTTTTGCATGATGGGTTTCTAGTAGGCTCTTAACATTACCATAAAGCAAATAACTTGTCTGCTTGCCTGGGATAAACACTTTACATTCATCATAATGCTTTGTAAATGCTGATTCCTTATATATTTTCTGGCATATCCTAAAAGGAAGGGAGTTTTTACTGTTTAGGAGGAGGGAATATCGCTGAATCACAGAGCGGATTGGGTTGAAGGGACTTTAAAGCTCCTCCAGCTCCAACCTCTTGCCACGGGCAGGGACACCTTCCACTGGAGCAGGTTGCTCCAAGCCCCTGTGTCCAACCTGGCCTTGAACACTGCCAGGGCTGGGGCAGCCACAGCTCCTCTGGGCACCCTGTGCCAGCGCCTCAGCACCCTCCCAGGGAAGAACTTCTGCCTCAGAGCTCATCTCAATCTCACCCAGTTCAGTATCCACCCAGGCCCTGGCTGCTGGGGCTCAGTGCTTCAGGCTCCAGGCAGGAATAGTCTTGCTCAAATCTGTTTCCCTGGTCTTTAAGGACCTATTTCCATAAACTTTAGGACCTGGTTTTGTTCAGTAGCTTGCTGGAATCTTCATGGTTATGTGGCTTTTGGGACAGACTGGATAGAAAATACCTTATCCAGCAGCTGGTACTCAGTCTTCAGAGCAGGTGGAGTGATTGAGGGGTAACCAGATTTGATCCGAATGACTGACAATCTGTAACTGGTAACACAGAAAATGAATGTTAAAAACAAACCAACGCATCCCATGCTTTAGGTACGTATGTCTGCAAAATCCTGGTTGATGTTATCTGTGCACAGATGCATTGGTGGCATCTGCACACCTTTATGTGCAGAAGCTGGTGTTTGAGATCTTGCTTTTATTGCGTGTATTGGTTTCCTATGTGTTGTTAAGTCCTGCTTGGCTACCAAAGAGTGATTTGCCATTACGGTTGTGCAGAAGTGTCTGGTGTCAGGAGAGTTGGAGCTGCACTAGTAGAGGTATTTTGCCACCAGGTGTGTAAGAGAACAGGGTTGTTCCTGTACAAAGGGATCTGGCTTCTTTAAGAACTTTAGCAGACAGTAAAAATTAACTGGGGCTATTTAGACAAGGAGTCCATGAGGAAACAGGCAGTGACATTATTTGGGTTGAGGTGTGTTCCTGGCCTATTGCATTTCCCAACAGAGCAGACCAAGGCAGAGGGTGTGCCAGGGAGCTGTGCTGGTGCAGTTGTTCTGTTGTCAGCCTGTTGTGTGCTCTTAGTAACAACACTGTGAGGGCTTTTGGAGCTTCCTTTCCCCTGTGACTTCTAGACTGGAAGGTCTCGGCGCCTTCAGTCCACTGGTGAGTTTTCCAGTAGATGGAATTAATTTGCAGGGTCTGATTTTCTTCAGTTTCTATGACATTTTGTGCTCAGATAATCACCGTTTGACTCTTTCTTCCTCTTCTGGGGGTGGTGGGCATATAGTTGATGTTCTGAAATGTCTGGAAAGTGTAAGGAAACTTCCTTGCCAGCTAAGAGCATTGCAGAGGCATGCTGTGTGGCTAAAAGAGGGCTGTGTTTCGGAAGAGAATCCTTCACTACAACCATTAGCTGTGTCTTTTAGTGTTCTCAAGCCAAACAACTGAGCTTGAGAATAACAACTTAGGAGCAGTGTGTTGTTAAAGAAAAACAAACATTCTCCTATGCATGCTTAAAATGTTCTTTAGAAAATCCCATAGATCAGGCTGAGACAAGAAGTTGTCTGGCAAAGGTGCAACTTCTATTGAATGGGAGATGCTTTACTGCACTGAGACAGTCTTGCTGGGAAATTGCAACCCAAAGTGAGCTTAGTAATGTTAATGTTAAATTGCTGTTGGCCTTTGTGGGGGTTGGAGAGAGAAGCAGAACAAATAAGTATCCAAATAACATCTTTTATAGATACCTTTTGTAAATCAGTAGCCAAATAATATCCTTTGCCTTGCATGTTTTCAGAGTTTGTATTCTTCTTGTTGTTACTATCAAATTCTTTTCGTAAGACTAAACTTACATAAAGTAGTAGTATACGACTTGGCTGCATTCAAGAGAATTTTTCACCCTCCAGCTCCATCCTGTGTTTGGGACACTCACTGCTCATTAGCTACGTTGGATGTATTTAAGGATTGAAAACTCTTTTCCCTCTTGTCTCCAGGAGTGAAGGTTGGAATAGCTCCACAGAAATTAGCAGCCTGATGACTTGTTCGTGGGGATTCCTCTGTTGACGCTTTCTCCCTCTGCTCTTTGACTTACAAGAGTTTGTACTAATGAACTTTGTTCAATTCTTGCCTTTGTTCCACTCCCCTTAAATTTTCAAGGCTGTTCAGCATTGGTGTTTTTTGTTTACGGAAACTCTGCAGCTGCCTAATACACACTGTCCTTGGAGACAGAGGGTGTGCACAGTGCAAATGGAAGAGCTCCGTGTTACTCCTCATGAGGCATGCCAGCCTTGAGATACTTCTTTGGCTTATTTAAGTATTTGCTGTGTGGATTATGGTTGGGTTCCCTTTTTCTCCTTTGTGTTTCTCTAACGTTGATGGTGATAACTTTCTGTTGGTAGGTTTAATTTCAAAAGATGTTTTTCCATGTAGGACACAGCTTAGGCTATGGCTTTGTGAACTACGTTACTGCAAAAGATGCTGAAAGAGCAATAAACACACTGAATGGCCTCAGACTTCAGTCAAAAACTATCAAGGTAGGATGTCTGGATTTCCTCATTCTTGTATGAAGTGGCTTTCTAATAGCCCCCATTTTGGTGGGGAGGCTTGTGTGCTCTCCAGCTGCAAGAAAGCTGGCCTCTGGGATGAGAGCAGTAAAGTTAAGCCTCTCGGGTTTTGGAACAGCTTTCTGTTCAAAGATTCCTTTTTTTTCTTTCCTGCTGTTTTTACAGCAGCAGCTGGGGTCATTACAAACTGTTGCTGAGCTTTTGAACTCGTGTGCATCTCAGCTACTTGATGGTCTCAATTTGAAATCATGTTAATACATATGTACTCCTTTTTCAAAATAACAGCTACTGTGTGTGTAGGAAATCACACCTCCTGAGGTGATCATAGAATCCTGCAACAGTTTGGGTTGAAGGGACCTTAAAGCTCTTCCAGCTCCAACTCCTGCCACGGGCAGGGACACCTTCCACTAGAGCAGGTTGCTCCAAGCCCCTGTGTCCATCCTGGCCTTGAACACTGCCAGGGATGGGGCAGGCACAGCTTCTCTGGGCACCCTGTGCCAGCGCCTCAGCACCCTCCCAGGGAAGAGCTTCTGCCTCAGAGCTCATCTCCGTCTCCCCTCTGGCAGGTTCAAGCCATTCCCCTTGTCCTGTCCCTGCAGGCCCTTGTCCAAAGCCCCTCTTCAGGTTTCCTGTAGGTCCCCTTTGGGTACTGGAGGACTGTTATAAGGTCTCTCCAGTGCAAGTTCTTGGCGTGGTCTGTGGTTCCTGACAGGTGCAGTATCTGAGTCAGAACTTCAGGCAGGAATTCTTCAATATAGCAAAAACGTTTGTTGAAAGCATCAGTATTAGTCTTCTGCTGTCTCTGCAGCAATGCCACTCTATTCCTTATCTGTTGGATGAGCCCAAAGCGGGTGGACTCATCTAGGGACATGACTTTTCTCTTTTTCCTGGCAATTTTCCCATACCTTCTCCCTGCTCCACTTTTTTGAGCCCCAAATGCCTGCAGTTGTTTAGTGGGGAATAAACTAAGGTGCCTCGCAATAAAGTAAGTTATGTTTTCCTGAACAACCTTCTTTTCCTTTTCAAAGGTTTCCTATGCTCGTCCAAGTTCCGAAGTTATAAAGGATGCTAATTTATATATCAGTGGACTACCAAGGTCAATGACACAAAAAGATGTAGAAGATATGTTTTCACGTTTTGGCCGCATCATCAACTCCCGTGTACTTGTGGATCAAACTACAGGTGAGTTCTGTTGAATTCCTTGTTGTGTAGAGCACGTTTTCTGGCAGATCCTAAACTAAATTAGGCATCTACAAACTAACCATGACATTTGGTGTCAACCACTCATACTATTCTCATGGGATATCCTTTTCCAGTGGTGTTTTTAAAGCACAGAAAGACTTGCTGCCTCGTCTGCTAGCTTATAATCTAAATCATGCCATATTTCATGCTCTTATTGTCAGTTTTACCAGGCTGATTTGCCAAATCTATCTTGCTATGGCACTTGCTGTTACTGTAGCACACTGTGCTTCTGGGCAGTGTCTCTAATCTGGAGTACTAATGTTACCTTTACACATACACAGCTATTACCCACAGGTAAATTCCAGGCCATAGTTCTATATTAAAAAGCAAAACGCTGTGTTTTGTCTCTTACAGCAACCTGGAACTCACTCACACAATTTTATCATATTTTAAAACATCTGAGGTGTCCCACAGTTCTCTCTGGTTACTGCCAACCATACACTTAGTCTTGAACTTTCTGCATGGATTTTGTGTATTAAATATCAGGAGGAAGAGAAGGGAGCAGTTGCTTAGTTAAGCACTCAGCTCAGGAGAGACCAAAGTTAAGGATTTCCTTTGTAATGTTAATCCTGCCTCCATGTTATAGTGTGTTTTCAGAGAGTTTTAAGTTCTTACCTAATTATTTCAGCCTGTAGAGCTGAAGAGTGTGGCCTGTCCTTCAGTCTCAGGTGTCTGGGTATTTTCCAGTAGCCCTTGTGCTACGTATGAAATTGGAGACATCTTTTACAAATACACTTCATTGAGTACTATTTTAGAACAGGAGATAACTAACCCTAGCAATTCCCCATTTAACATTTATAACTGGAAGCATGTACATTTATCCACAGTAGTTAAACAGCAGCTTTCATGCTCTATGAGGAAAGTCTTTTCCTAGAGAGGATTCATTTTGTCCAGCTTTGATATCTTTATGGCTCTGTCTCTAGAACTACTTCTTTAGATGGCAGCTGCAAAAGACTTTTAGAGCACAGAAAACATATTATAAAGGAGCCCTCCTTCTCTGGCTGTCAGTGGAGTGGGGATCACTAGCATCTGTCTGACAGAACTATAAAATGAGATGGCAGAAGTCATACAATTAAAATCTCTCCAGGAATAATAGTGTTTTCATCGAGTGTGCTGAGGCATGATGCTGTCTAAGTCAGTGTCAGCTCAGAATATGATGCTTGCTTTTAAATAACCTTAATAATCTATTGTTTGAAGGATGGATTCTGTTTACAATGTAAAGTTGAATGCAAGCCTAGCCTAGTTTTCCTTTCCCTTCAGACTGTAGCCAAGCATTGGCTTGGAAACCTCATTGCACATCTTGATCTAGTATCAGATAGAAGAAATTGTGATCTGTTGTGCTTTCAGACATAGGTGCTCAGCAGAGGCTGTTCTCCAGCTTTGGAGAATTAATCTGTTTTAAAATGTGCTTTCTACAACGTTTATATTTTAAACGAAGGCTATGATAGATCAAGTGAGCAGCACTGAGATGAGCAACATGGAAGTTGAGAGGAAGTACCAGTATGCTGGGCTCTGGGATAGCCCTTGCTGACTTCTGGGTGATGCTGGTGTTTTGTGCCATTCCATGGTGGGGCAGATCATAGAATCCCAGACTTGGGTTGGATGGAAGGGACCTTAAAGCTCCTCCAGTTCCAACCCCTGCCACGGGCAGGGACACCTTCCACTAGAGCAGGTTGCTCCAAGCCCCTGTGTCCAACCTGGCCTTGAACACTGCCAGGGCTGGGGCAGCCACAGCTTCTCTGGGCACCCTGTGCCAGCGCCTCAGCACCCTCCCAGGGAAGAGCTTCTGCCTCAGAGCTCATCTCAATCTCCCCTCTGGCAGGTTCAAGCCATTCCCCTTGTCCTGTCCCTACAGGCCCTTGTCCAAAGCCCCTCTCCAGGTTTCCTGTATCCCCTTTAAGCACTGGAGCTGCTCTAAGGTGTCCCCTTGAGGAGCCTTCTCTTCTCCAGCTGCCCCAGCCCAGCTCTCTCAGCCTGGCTCCAGAACAGAGCTGCTCCAGCCCTCGCAGCAGCTCCGTGGCCTCCTCTGGCCTCGCTCCAACACCTTCATAATCCTTTTGTGTTGGGGACCCCAGGTGCAGTTTTCCTGTATCCTAACACAGCAGAGGGGCAGGATCCCCTCCCTGACCTGCTGCTCATGCTCTCAGGATGCATCCTGGTCGTCCCAGGACATGGTTTAGCATGTTCAACAGCAGTGTCATTGTTTCAGTACAGTTACCAGGAGGTGATTCCTGATCAGTTTTAATGAATTAAAAATAAGGTATGTGACATGTAAAGGTGATGACTAGGATATAGATGAAACTATAATCTCTCGTGTTAAAAAAGGTTGAACTACTTGGTTATAGTCAGACCATTGTGGCCTCATCTCCAATGCTGAGTTTTCCCTCAGTGTGGAAAACTGAAAACCTTTATAAAAACCAGTGTCAACTTTGTGTTTGCAGATGCTTTATAGTGATAATCCAGACGAAGGGGTTGGCTTCCATTTGGTTTCGTTGAATTAGTTTAAAATGTTGGGAGGTTTTTGGTAATGGCAGTGTCAGTGGGGGATGGATTTCCTGGAATTCCACCACACGGGATTTCTTTGTTAAGCATTTAAGTCACTCTGGTTGGTCTAGCTGAAACAAATGTATTAATTTGTCTTTTGTTCCTTAATTTTTGTACTTCATTCTCTAGCTGCTGAAGAACCATCAGTAAATGCAGAGACCTTGCAAGCCATGCCCACAGAAATCTTTAACCGCTTTGGTTTTCTTTTGCTTTCAGAGTTATTTTGAGTTTATCCTGAACTTCCCTTTTATTTATTTATATTTTTTTTTATTGGTTTGGTTAAAAGGTTTGTCCAGAGGGGTCGCATTTATCCGGTTTGACAAAAGGTCAGAAGCAGAAGAGGCAATTACAAATTTCAATGGTCACAAACCCCCAGGTTCCTCCGAACCCATTACAGTGAAGTTTGCAGCCAATCCTAACCAGAACAAAAATGTGGCTCTGTTATCCCAGCTGTGTCATTCACCAGCTAGAAGGTTCGGAGGGCCGGTGCATCACCAGGCGCAAAGATTCAGGTAGGTTAGGAAGAATAATGCATTTAAGGCTGTGCTGCTATTCCCGTGTCCGTCTGGGAAGCTCTGCAGTGATCTCATTGTGTGTGAATGAATACGGAGTGCACTCTGTGTCCTGCAGTGTTCTGTAAATAAAACTGTTGAATTAAAGTATGATGAAAGTAAAAATCTTACTTGTAAAATTCATATTTAAGTTGATTATCTCAAGGGACAAACCCTACGGTGGCTGTTTCTGCAATTGAGTGTGTAGTGAGATACAGGAAGCAGCAGATTCCAGATGGGTGTTGGTAGATGCTTGTCTCAACAGATCTCCAGTCTGTAGTCCATCTAGGTGAATGCTGATATAAGTTGCAACTTAATTCAAGCTCTGACCCATTGGTTCCAGCAGGGAGGTGTCATAGTAAAATAGGAAAACCTTCTCCTAAGGGAGAGATGCAGTAGGATTTCTGCCTTTATCTTGAGCTGGGCAGTGTTCTGTCCTTGAGTCCTCAGAAGTTCAGTAAGCTCATTGAGTAATTACAACACACTCCCAGGGCTGTGGGAGATACAGTGTGTTTTGCCTCTGAGAATTGCTTTGAATATGAACTGCTTGAATTTGAATTGCTTTAGTAGTTTAAGGGAGAGTGGTGATAGTTGGACTGTGCACTGGAATATGCATAATATATACTTATTGTCTTGGCTTTGTTATGTGTTCATGTTTCTCAGGGTGGTGTTTCTCTGTGGAGAATTTACTTTTCTTTCTTTTTCTCCTCCAGTTAGCTTAGTAAAACTTGGACTAAAAATTCAAATAGCTTTTTACAGCACTATTGTTCCAGTGACCTTCCTATAATGCTTTAGCATTTTATCAACAGCTCAGTGTGATGTGTCTCCAATGAGAATCATTGTCATCTGTTGTTTTCCACTAAGGATGATTGAACAGGTTGCCCAAAGAGAGCATGGAGTGTCCATTCTTAAAGATAGTTAAAACCTGGTTGGAACAGACCTCAGCAACCTGCTCAAGGTGCCTCTGCTTGGAGGAGGCGGGTGCTCTAGAGAGTTCCAGAGGTCCCTGCCAACCTCAGTCATTGTTTGTGACTGTAGCCCAGGCAAGTTGAATGCAGGCAGCTCCTCAAATCTCATCTCCTTGAAGCGCTCATCCAGATCTCTGCACCCAGGTGAAGCAAGGAATGCAATTCTGTGGTGTTGCAGTTAGGTGAACTGTTGAAAAACTTCCATGTGTCTTCTGTCAGCCAGGGCTTTGTTGTGTCCTGGTAAGATCTTGAGGCTTTGTCTCATGTTTTCCTTCGTAATGGAATTGACATTTTCATCCTCCTCCTTCCCCTTAAAATTTACAACAGCATTAAGATGCATCAGAGAAAGCAGTAGAAATAACATTCACATCCATAAATAAGACACCAAATAACCTTAATTCTGTCCTCATCACTCAGGAACAGTAAAAATGATTCATGTGTTAATACTTGCAGGAGAAACTAAATTTTAATGCTCAGTTCATTTATTAAGTCTTTAAGAGCAGCATTAATGTTATTTGTGTGCATTTCCTACATTTCTACAGGCATGGGTTCTCACAAGTGGAGATGAGAGAGAAGACCTTCTGTCTCTCTCTGTTCCATCTCTGCTTCTGTGGTAACTGCCCACTTGGGTTGTCTGAGCCCAGTGCTCATTTGTCAACGCATTTTGGCCACCTTCTGCTCTTAGTTGTAGGCTTGTTGATGGAAAAAGAGCTCAGGTTTTTGAGGTACTACAGATTGGCAGAGGGAGTAGTAGAGCAGCAGCCATGCTCTTAGGAGTACACTGCGGAGACAAGATCCACCACTTGAGGACAGGAGCTGTCCATCTCTGCACCTTGACACACACTTGCAAGAACTTTAACACTTCAGAAACATCCTCCCCTGAGTCACATGTGCATGTGTGCACATACCTACATGTACGAACAACACAGGCACCATCCCACAAGTTCTTCTTATTTTACTTCTCACCTTTGGTGTGAACAGCAAGTTCTTTTAGTGGCTCTTCCCTAAAGGATGCTGAACGTCAAACTGTGGTAAACCTTAGTTTGGAATGAGTCTTGGCTTTGTGGAGTGAACAAAACATGATAGATAAGCTGCTTCCAAAGAGCTCACAGTCTGTATAAATTACAGTTGTGGGCTCTGCTACATAGGAGTTGAATTCTTATACTGACATTTTGATTACACTTCATCTCGTTCCATCCTAATCCCTGTAAATCCAGGATTAAGCCTTTGGTATCTCTAATTTGTAATTATTAATTTCCTACAGATATTGCTCAGACCCATTGTTTAATGTTCCATTAATCCTTTGTAGTTCCTGTGGTATTTGTGGCTCACATCAGGAACTGGTCTTAATGCCTCATCCCAGCAAAGTGCTGGCCTGGCCTGAGGCACAGTCTGATGTGCTCTCTGCTTCCATCCGTTGGGAATGACACAGTGGTGTGGGATTGAGTTTGGAGGAGAGAGGAACCACCAGGGGTGAGAGCTTAAACAGAATAGCAGCTCTATAAGTATTGAACTCTGGTGAAATGAAGGAGTTTGGCTTCTAAAGCTGGAGAAGGCTGGCCAAAGGCTTTCAGAGTCCTGGGCTTTTCCCTTCACCAGAGCTCTGTGCTGGAAGAATGTTCTTCCAATCTCAAGAATACTCCCACTTCAGCTGGTTTTCCTTTCAGACTTGTTCAGGGTTTGGAGATTCAGTTCCCATTTGTGTTAATAGGCAAACTTGTGTTGATACCAGAGTCCAGGAGTTAGGTCCAAAATACCTGAAGAGGAGTTCTTACTTCTTGATAAACCTTTGCTCAAGGGGAAATGAGAGAAGACTCTGGAGTGTTTAACCCTGTCACTGACACTCCTGCTCAGGCAGCTCCCAAACTGTTCAAACTTTCATTTTCTAAGCTGCCAGTTGTCTGTGTTGAGAATGCCATAGAAGAAAACACTTCATCCAGAGTAGCAGTTAATCAAAGTCCTAGAAGAATGTGGCGTTGAAGCCCCTTATTTCTGTTGCTGCTGCCCCCTGATACATGGCTCTTTGATTTAACACTGTTCTATTGGGCTTACAGCTTGTATCACCAAATCCTCCACAGAACTTGTTTTGTACACAGTGGGTCATTCCCAGCTGTGTCAGTGTATGGGAGCAGAAATTGCTTGTGGGAAAAGCAGTGGATGTGACCAGTATCAGTGTAGTTGGACTCGTTCTCTTTGTGGAGCTATCTACAAAATGAAAGATTCCAAGCTCATGTGCAAAGGCAGCATAAGCTAATATTGAAACTAATATTACTGCTTATTAGCCTTGTGTGAGCTGCTCCCACCAGTGGTGCTGTGTGGAGCTGGTCTCAGGCTGCAGTAAAAAGAATTGAGCAACAAAGAATTTCTGTGGCTTTCATAGGACTCAAAAGAAACTGGGTTTCGTTCTCATTTCTGAGATGATGTCCTCTAGTGTGTTAAGGTAATCCCAGAACCTATTTAATAACAGTAGAGCAAAAGCTCATTCATCTAAATGAGAAGCTTTAAAAAGTGAAATAGATTACAGTTAAAACTCTAATGTCACAAGATGTTGGAGTTTTGTGGTTAGCCTCACCTAAAAGAACCATCCGTAGATAACATTGTCTACAGATGCTTAGGGAGGATTGAAAAAGCAAATGTAACAATAAATGCAACAAGAATGAGGACACCAGGAATAAGTATGACAAGACTGAGATCCTTCAAATTACAATATGAATGGGATTTTCTCTGAAACACCTTGGATCTCTGTGCTTTAGTGTTGTTTGCCCAACTCAGAGTCTTTTAAAGACCCTTACTAGGTAAATCTTCCTAAGAGTCATCTTAAATTGACATTGTCTGTGCTGGTAGGATGGAACTTTATGTGTCAGCTCCTCTGTGCCTGGCTCCGCGTGGGCTGCTACCCTGAGCTGACCAGGAGATCTTGTGTTCCTCTTGCGCAGGGCTGCAGTCCAGGAGAAGCAGAGAGGTTTGTCACATCCACCACCCTGCAGTGGGAGCCTGCCCCGCTCATCCCGAGTGCTCTCATTCATGCCACATGTCCTCTGTGGTGCCTCAGGTGGATGCAAGTCTGAATGTCAATTTGTCCTTCCATATACGTCTGATCCTGTGCCACATTTACTGTTGCTTTGGCTGATTTCTTTTCTGCTGGTTGCCTTTTAACCAGCCACAAGCTTCTGTGAAAGGTTTCTTTTTCAGGTGAATTTGCAGAGTATCACTTCAGAATCACAGTCACAGAGTGGTCTGGGTTGGGAGGGACCTTAAAGCTCCTCCAGCTCCAACCCCTGCCACGGGCAGGGACACCTTCCACTAGAGCAGGTTGCTCCAAGCCCCTGTGTCCAACCTGGCCTTGAACACTGCCAGGAATGAAGCAGCCACAGCTTCTCTGGGCACCCTGTGCCAGCGCCTCAGCACCCTCATGGGGAAGAGCTTCTGCCTCAGAGCTCATCTCAATCTCCCCTCTGGCAGGTTAAAGCCATTCCCCTTGTCCTGTCCCTACAGGCCCTTGTCCAAAGCCCCTCTCCAGGTTTCCTGGAGCCCCTTTAGGCACTGGAGCTGCTCTAAGGTGTCCCCTTGAGGAGCCTTCTCTTCTCCAGCTGCCCCAGCCCAGCTCTCTCAGCGTGGCTCCAGGGCAGAGCTGCTCCAGCCCTCGCAGCAGCTCCGGGGCCTCCTCTGGCCTCGCTCCAGCAGCTCCACGTCCCTCTTGTGGTGTTGCCCCAGAGCTGGACACAGGACTGTCAGGTGTGGGTGAGAGGGATGTTATGGGTGAGGTGATAGTTCCTATGGTTGATGTTTTTTTTAAAGACTTTTCAGGTCTTATAGGGGTGTTTTTCCCTGTTGTTTTTGTTTTGTTTTATAAACCTGTAACATTTTTGTCAGCCAAAGCAAAGAGGAGAATCTGAAACTGAGTGTATCCAAAGAGCAGAGCTACTTGTTACTTTAAATGATTTTTCCTGTAGTATGCATTCAGATTCGTTGTCATCCTGCTGCTCTTCTACAAGTGGTTCCAGTCCTTGATGTCCTGTTGATCTGAGCTTGTGGGCAGAGCCTGAGGCTTGGTAGGAAGCAGGTTCAGAGCTACACTGACTGCTGGAACCAACATTGTGCAATCCTGACCTTAGTGATTCTCTGCTCCCCTCACATGGAAGCAGGAACCCAAGGCTGGTGATCTGTTGAGACAAAAATTTCCCAAATATTAAGAGAACTACATCCTACCAGCTCATTTCTCAAATGGGAACAAGCTCCAAAGCTGAAGGTGCCTGTCAAAAAAAATAAGCAGATAAAGCATGCAAACACAGAAAGTGTTTCATATAAAAGCAAACTAACCAGTAGGTCTGTCACCTACTCCTCAGATCACGTGGATTAGCGCGTCTCATTCACCTTTCTGATACTCTTAACTGCTTTTTCAGTTTTTACTGTAATACAAGGATTCCCAAACTTGGATTTCCTTGGGGCTGGCCAACAGTGTGAGCAGCAGTGAGTATGTGCAGCACGAGCTCAGGTGTGGCCACGCTGGGCTTAGAAACACCAGCAGCAGGTAGCCAGCGGGGCCGCAGCCAGACTGAGCCAGGTTGGGAAGGGGTCTGCACCACTGAGACTCCCCCTGCACTGGTACAGGAACATCTCATAGCTCAGGTGTCCAAGGAAATGAACTGTCTTTGAGCACCAGACAGCCTGGGGCAGGGGAGATGGTGACTGCGTGGTTCTCTTGTATGAGTGCATCAACCAAAGTGCCACACTGAACACAAGCTGACTTCCCTGTGGGCATGGGTGGGCTGCTGCAGCTCTGCTCCCCTTCCTTCTGATGCACACTGTCTTGAGCCCTCCCTTCTGTCTAGAGACAGCAGCAGCTCCTCTCTTTGTGCAGGGCAAGAAAAAGTCAGTGGGGAAGTGTTTGGCACTTAATGCAGCGTTCACTGCCCAGACATCCATTCCCTGTTTCCTCCAGGTCAGCAGAGAATCAGGAACTGCCACCCCCATGTTCTTGGCAGAGAGCAGCACGTGTACCACTTTTAAGTGGTTTGCATATCACCAGTGGTACACCACAGTTTGGGAACCCCTGGTATAGTATAATTATATTTCTACAATCACATGTCCTCACATTTTTTAAATAATACATAAGCTCAGTTTCATAAAATTGAGGTTTTAACCTTAACTTTCACATTTCCTGACCTTTGAGTGCTTAGCTGTGCAGCCATAATACTGCCTTAAAATACTCTGAAGCTTGGAATTACTAGCATGGAGACCAGAAATAGAATGAAGGGGAATTAGAGATATGGGTTATAGGAGAAAAGAAAATAATACAAAGCAAGATATAAACAGGAGAGGGGTTTTTGCTATTTGTTATGCATAAATACTTCTGGGGTACAATGCAGGAGGCAGGTTTAGGAAGGGTGTGTTGGTGACTTAAAGCCCAGTTCAGTAAAGCCAGGGAAGTTTTCCTAGGATTAAGTTGGCGTAAAACTAATAAGACGAGCATCCTGCAATTGTAAAACTGTGTGACTTCAATGTGGTTTGCTGTTTTGATGTTTAGAAGCTCCTGCAGTTAGAATATCTCCAGAACTGTGTATTCAGGATTAAAAACCTGAGATTTGAATTCCGTAGCTCGGAATGTGGGACATCACAGCCACGGAGAGTTGGCTGAGGAAGTGCTAATATTTCCTTAGCTGCCCAATAGCTGGGGCTTATTGAGAAACCTGCTTGTATGGGGGGTGTTTGCTTCTGTTCCATAAAATAAGATTTAATTTGATAAACACACAATCTCTACTCCTAAACCCAAACCATCCCCTCCCTCCCCTGCCCCAGCAAACCCCACAAATCCCTTTGGCCTATGAGTTCCCAACACAGTATTTTAGAGGTGAGAAAGGGAGGGTAATGGGATGCAAACTCCTTGAGGGAAGTAAGTGGGGGGTGGATTGAAGCAGGCTGAGGCCTCCGGGGAGGTGTTGCCTGATACCTGCACTCAAGCAGTTCTGCACCGATGCCATGGAGTGCTCTTCACAGCCTGGCTGAGTTTCAAGTCCCCTGTGAAAGCGAGCACCTAATCTTGCCTTGCAACTCTTCTGTTGCCTCCCTATTCCTAAGGATAGTTCCCTATTAACAAACTAGTTGGAATACTTAACATTTATACATTTTTTTTCCTGGCAGCTGTCAATTTTGATTGTCAATTTGAATGGGGGAAGCGTTTCTTTCTGGCGGTTTTGATGTCCATGTAGAAAATATTGATGCTCAGTTGCTTCCCATTCGAGTGAATTTACTGAATTGAATTGAACTTTTACATGAAATATTGTGCTTTTTATTTGCTAGGTTCTCTCCTATGGGTGTAGATCACATGAGTGGGCTTTCTGGTGTAAATGTTCCAGGAAACGCATCTTCTGGCTGGTGTATCTTCATCTACAACCTTGGTCAAGATGCTGATGAGGGAATCCTCTGGCAGATGTTTGGCCCCTTTGGTGCGGTTACCAATGTGAAAGTTATTCGAGATTTCAACACCAACAAGTGCAAAGGTTTTGGTTTTGTGACCATGACAAACTATGAAGAAGCTGCAATGGCCATAGCAAGTCTTAATGGCTACCGCCTGGGGGACAAAATCTTACAGGTTTCCTTCAAAACCAACAAGTCCCACAAATAACTTGCTCGTGCTTTTTGTATGGAATAGATTAAGTGAGTGACAGAAGTTGAAACCTCCTTCTTTTTTTTTTTTTTGGTTTTTTGTTTGTTGGTTTTTTTTTTTTTTGTTTTTTTTGTTAGTGTAAAACTCATTTTGCGCCAACTTTCACAAGTGTTTGTCTTAGTCTAAATGAGAAGTGAAAAAGGTTTTATATTCTGGGATGCAACTGACATGTTCAAATGTTTGAAATCCCACAATGTCAGACCAATTTTAAGTTCCTTTTAAGTTATTTCATTTACAAACATGTTTCAAAACTCCCCTGAAATCCGAAGTCGATTGCATTAACAAGACCCTCTGGATGGTGGTAAAACTGAAGCATGCTTTCACTTATGAGACTAACATTTGTTCCATGGAATGTTGTCTGCAAAAACTGGAATTTTCTGCAAAATATCAGGCTGAATGAATGAATTTTCTTGGGGTTTTTATGTTGTTGTTTCTCCCACCCATTCCCTGTGACCTTCTCTACCCCCGACTCGGTAGTATGGAAGAAAAGTTGAGAAATACTAATGTTTTAGTTGACAGTCATTTGTTTGCTCAATTAATATTCATTTACTACGTTATGTAGTTGAGGATTAGGCTTTTTAAGTCAAGGTCTTGTAAGTAGTAGCATGCCAGCATAACTTTTAACACCATTGAGGAGGTAAGTTGCACACTGAGCAGTGGCCAAGCTGTCCAATTCAAAGGTTTTAGAAACATTTTATTTGTAAAATCCACTTTCTAATAGGAATGGACCAAAGAGTTTCCAAGAAACTCCGGGAAGATTTCAGAGACAAAATGCAACTCCAAAAAGAGGGTGTGAATCTTACATTGCTACTTGATCAACCTCAATCTCTTCTGTCCAAATACTTAATGCATGGTGCACTACTTACTGGTACATTATAATGCAGCAAGATACTTACTCATTTTCAATGATCATTATAGTTTGAATTTCTTTGGTAGTTCTATTTTGTAAAGGAAAAAAAAATAACAGTTATAAACATTTGAGCATTGTATTTCTCGCATCCCTTCTAATGAGTGCTAGATTTTTCTATTTTAATAGGTTTTTGTTTTGACAACTAGCTTTACTTATTGAACACTCAGCAGAAAAGTACTTACCTACTTGCAAGTTAGATATTAACGAAAGAAAACCCCCTTTGATTTGTAGATTTAAAGATTAATCCCCCAAGTTTTCTGCAGACTGCCTTGAAACTTTGAGTTGTTCTGTTTCTGTTAATTTTCTTTTGCTTTTTTGTGTTTTTTGTTTGTTTTTACTTTTGCATTTAAGAACATTAAATTTGATTTTGTTTTGCTCAAATTTTGTTTTGTTTTTTATTTTCTGTTATTTTTTTGCTGAGTATTGCACACAGTGTCCAGCTTTCAATGAGTGTTGCTTTAAAGAACTCTAGTTCCTCTTGAAGGGTTTCTCAGATACTCCTTTGACAGACAAGTAGAAGAAAAGAGAGTTATGAAACAAGAGCACTACAAGAAATCTGTCACATAGAACCCGTGTGCCACAGGCTGACATAACCCTGCAGGTTGTTCTTTGGTAGGAAATCTGACAAGGATTGCTCCATGGAGTAAAGGCTGTGTAAGGATACTGGGCATGACTAGAGACTTATCTGCACAACCGTCAGGTCCAGTCTTCACGCTCCGTTGGCAGAAGGTAGAGCAAGCAAGAGACGGGGTCAGGGGCGGTTTTAATGCAGTGTCTCCTTTTGTTGCATGAACCTCTACCAGTCCTTAAGCTGACTTTCAAATGGCAAAGGCCCGTCAATGCCTTCTGCTTGTATCACTCCATTCCTGGCTGACCTTGCCTTGCATTTACAGTCGTTTCTTCTCTTTCTGCAGTGGGACCTGCAGTCTTGCACAGCCCAAAGAGAGCCCATCTCCTTTGATCACCTTCAGCACTGTCTCTAGTCCTTTCACTACCATCTCTTGAGAAGCACCATGGTTTGTACAACAGTGACTGTGACAGAGCAACTGACTCCCACCCCTCATAGTGTACTTTTCAGCAGTCTATTACAGATGTTTCCACCAACTTGTCATCAATCTTTTAATTATGTTAATATATACTTCTTTTATGTGGAAAAAGAGAGATTCAGAAGCACTCAGGGGGTTTCTCTCAAGTTAAAACTGAGTAGCATAGAGTCCTCTCACTGTGTCCCACATCTCTTAACCTCACACTGTCCTGTTCCACAGGACAGTTGTTCCCAGCTTCCTGTCATTCTCTCTTGCCTTATTTTGTATAAGATTAATTTCACACTAAATGAGAGTTGCTGGTTTATCACAGCATTTAGATGAGGGTTCGGACTTCCAGTGAAGGACACCCTCGGTCGGACTCTGCCTCAATGATCACTGCAGGCGTGCTGGCACTGCTCTGAGCTCTAAAACATTTCATGTAGACTTTTTGGCATCCCTGTCATCTGCCCGCTTCTCTGTTCCTCCATTTCTCTTTGCTAAGTAAGAAGGAAACACAGGATGCTGTTTCAGTAGTGATATAAAAACATCTCTTGTAGGAAACATCTGATCCCAGCTTCCTTTGATAGTTGCTCTGACAGCCGTTACCACGTAACTTCCATGAGCAAAACGTTGCTGCTTGAGTCAGGAAAAGAGGGAAACAAAACCCTGTTAAAATACCAAGAGCTGATACTAGAAGTGTATGGTCTGCATCCTAATAGTCAATAAATATTTGGCATAAATAGCTGAAGTCAAGGAAAAATTGTCTGTATTCTTGCTGCTTTTGGCCCTGAACAATAGCCGTGTATCCTACTAGTAAAGACCAAAGGAAACTTCTGGAAATGGAAACTAAATTCAAACAAGTCATCTGCCAGCAGTTTTTCTACCCAGAAGGTAGGAGCAACTGTTTCCTTTACCACGTCACCCAGCGTACCCTCCTTAGAAGCTCTTCCTTGAACATACCTGCTTCAAGAGAAGGTTTGCCCTCTTGATCCTCAGAGTTTAGGAAAAACTGTTGATTTGTTCTTTTTCATCCTTTCATTTGATGAAATACAGATGTTTCTTTCAGGTGATGCTCAGTCACTGCTTACAGGATCTTTGTGAACCCAAAAGCCTGTCTCAACCCAGTGGACACTTACATTTCTCATGAGATGCAGTAGCTCAGTGAGGTAGAGTCTTGGTTGCTGGATTAGCACGTGGTGATCAGATTTTAAAGACCTGGTCCAGGCTGGAGATGTGCTACTGGGAACAGCTCTGATAGAAGTGTTTTGGGGTCCCCTAGAACAGGCCGGAAATGTCACAAGACACCCCCAGGTACCTGCTGCTGGAGGACCATCAGGTGTAATTCCTGATGAAAACATGTAGTTATGGCTGTGCTGCTGTTGCAGGGTCTTGTGTAGATACTAAAGAGAATGACAATGCCTCAGGGGACAGGGCGAGGGGGTTTATGCCAGCTTTTCTGAAGGCATGAGTCTGGATTTCCGGACTCCACAGTTTGGGTGACACCATTTCATTTTAGATCAGTTGGACAAATACAGTGACAGAAGTTCACCTGCCTTGTGTTTGAAAAGAAAGGGGAGAAGAGGCTTCTTCATCAGTCTTATGGTCAGGGTAGCTACCTTCAGAGCTGAGGCTCTGCCAGGTGGGGATACAGACAGCAAGACTTGTGCTGGGTGTTCCAGTGGACCAGTTTGCTTTGGGTCCACTTGCTTTCACAAGGAGAACTTGGCACTCCAGCAGAAGCTGCCCTTGGCTTCTGCAGCCATTCCCAGTGGGGAGTCCCTGGTTTTCACTCACTGGCTGGGAGCCGTCTCCTTTGGGAGGCCCATCTGCAGGCAGGCACCTTTGGTGGCAGTAAAAAGGCTTCACTGTGCAAGGGCAGGGTCTTGTGCTGGGGTTTGGTCAGCCTTCAGGACCTTGAATGTTCAACCAGTTATTGTTTGCAGGAAACCTCACCAGCTTTTGGATGTCTGGTGTGATTTTAATTATTGCTTTGTCACTTTTGAATGTCAAATCACTTGGTATTTCATTTGAAAGAGTAGTGCTGCTGCCCTTATTTGGCTCTCATCCTTTTCTACACTTATTGCAAATATTGGTTGGATCTGGTACTCCAAGAAGGCTCTTACTGGGCTATGGTGTGGCTGCCAAACACACTTGTTATAGGGCTTCGAGCAGTCTTCATTCTTTGCTGGACTGTGGAGCTTCACTCTAAAATGAGACAATGCCTGATTAAATGCAAAACTGTCCTGACTGTGCTTGAAGACCACATCCAAAGTTCTCCGGAGCCATTCTGGACTTGAATTGTGTTGTACAGAATAAAACCAAATAAAAAAATGGATTGGATTTTTTTAGTATATAAAACAACTTGAGTTTTTCAAACTGAAAATTCCTTGAAGGCTTTATTCAGACTTGGTCTTTTCCAGTCTCTTGATTTATGAAGTTTTTATTCCTGCTCAGTAACTTACATTTGCTTCCCAGATTCCCCCTATGAATGGAATTCACCCTGGTGCAGAAAGCCTGCTCACGGTTTGGACCTGATAACCATCTGCAGATAGGGAAGCTTCACAGTAAATATGGAAAGGGAAGCTCTGGTGTTGCTGTGTATCCTAAGCTGGCAGAGGCAAGTCCAGTTCCTTCAGAGAAGGAAATGGCAGCATCAGAACCACTATAAACATGAGCAGAATCCAAGCAGGTTAGTGTGTTTAGCTCTCTTGTGACTGTTTTAGATGGTGTCTCCATACCAAAGTGTTGAATTTGTTTTAATGCTCAAGTTACATCATTATAAAGTTTGGTTTGCTTGGTGCTGTGCTTTCATCTCCTGTCTGGCAGGAGGGGATGGAGCCAGCACAGTTAACGTTGCCTCCTGTGCCAAGCTGGTGCCAATCCCTCCGCCTTCTGCTCTAGATCGGGGACTGAGAAGGACTTGAGGATCCAGCTTTTAGGGTGGAAGGAGAAGTCAGCGTCCCCGTGGTGGTGTGTGTCCACGCATCTTGTTCCTTCCCTTTGGTTGGTTATGAGTTTTTTGT